CAGCCAGTCACACTTCTCCGCTCGAGAACGCTCCCTTTATTCAGCCCACTTAGCTCCCTTGATGCCTCTCTACCTACCTTATCATCAGATTCATCCCTACTAAATGCCCAAGGGAGATTATTCCCCAGCCCAACTTCCTCCCCTGAGAGCTGACTAGATTCTGGCCGGGCGGGGGGGGGGAAGGTTCTAGAGAAGGGGGGTGCTATCCGAGTCGTGTGGGGAAGGAGATTTGCGGATCATAAACATCCCAGGGAGAAGCGCAACAGAGTCCTTGCGACCCTGGAAAAGGTTGGTAGTGGTAGGCTCCTTGGCAGTCCCCTTGGTCTTAAGGTCTTGTTGATTAATGCCAGATCCGTTAATGGTAAGACCGCGGCCATCCAGGACTTGATCCTGGATGAGAGGGCGGATCTGGCATGCATTACCGAGACCTGGCTGGACGAACTGGGGGGTGTAAACCTTTCCCAGCTGTGCCCACCAGGTTTTGGAGTGCATCAACAGGCCAGACAAGGGGGGCGGGGAGGAGGGGTCGCAGTAGTCTTCCGGCAATCCATCGCCGTGACCAGATGCGTTGTTCCGCAGGCTTCTGGGTTCGAATGTGTCCACTTGAAGGTGGGGAGCCGTGACAGTGTGGGGTTCCTGCTGGTGTACCGCCCACCCCGTGACCCAGCAGCTTCCCTGTCTGAGCTAGCGGAGGTGGTCTCTAATTCGGCCTTGGTCTCCCAGCGCCTGGTGGTGCTGGGAGACTTTAACATCCACGCTGAGACCACTTTATCTGGCGCAGCTCAGGACTTTATGGCCACCATGACGGCCATAGGACTGTCACAGATAATATCCGGCCCCACGCATCAAGCTGGGCACACTCTCGACCTTGTCTTTGTGGCGGACGACGAATCGTTCAGAGTGGAAGATCAAAACATCCTTCCAGTGTCATGGTCTGACCATCATCTGATCACATTTAGACTTACTGCGACCCTAAACCTCTGCAGGGGTGGAGGACAAATTAAGATGGTCCGCCCTAGGAGACTGATGGATCCGGATGGATTCCTGAGGAATCTTAGGGTTCTTCCTGCCTCGGAGCCTGGCGATTCTGTCGACGCCTTGGTTGCTCTCTATAATGGGGAGATGGCCAGGGCGTTAGATACGATCGCACCTGAACGCCCCATCTCGTTGCGTCGTGAAAGGCCATCTCCTTGGTTTACCGAGGAGCTGGCCGTGATGAAGCATACGAGAAGGGGGCTAGAGCGCAAATGGAGGAAATCTCGAGATGTGTCTGATCGAACACGGGCTAGAGCCTCTCTTAAGGCATATTCTGTGGCTATACGGGTGGCCAGGAAATCATTCACGACCACCCGTATAGCGTCTGCAGCAAATAGATCATCTGAGCTGTTTCGGGTCGTGGGAGAACTCCTCCACCCACCTGTGGTGGAGGAGGTCACTGATGACCCAGCAGCTCGGTGTCGCGATTTCGCACACCATTTTGCAGGTAAAGTCGCCCAGATACGCCTTGAGCTCGACTCCAATTTCATTGCAGTGCCAGAAGAGGTGACGGAGGCATCTGCTTGTCCAACTTTGTGGGATTCTTTTAGGCTTGTTCTTCCTGAAACCGTGGAGGAGATTCTTGGGGCTGTGAGGGCGACCACCTCATCTCTAGACCCATGCCCATCTTGGCTCATTAAATCAGCCAGAGGGGGGTTGCTTGACTGGTTTGTAATGATTATTAATGCATCGTTGGAGCAAGGAATTTTTCCATCTAATTTGAAGCAGGCCGTGGTTCGCCCACTTATTAAAAAAGCTTCCCTTGACTCCACGGTGCTGAATAACTACAGGCCGATCTCCAACCTCCCCTTTTTGGGTAAGGTGCTGGAGAGGGTGGTCGCCTCCCAGCTCCAGGGTTTCCTTGATGATACCAACTACCTAGATCGATCACAGTCTGGTTTCAGGCCTGGTCACGGCACCGAGACAACCTTGGTCGCCTTGGTGGATGACCTCCGTAGAGAGCTGGACAGGGGGAGTGTGACTCTGTTGGTTCTCTTGGACATCTCAGCGGCTTTCGATACCATCGATCATGGTATCCTTCTGGGTCGTCTCTCTGGGATGGGTCTCGGGGGCACGGTTCTGTCGTGGCTCCGGTCCTTCCTGGAGGGACGAACCCAGATGGTGAAGCTGGGAGACGCCTGCTCGGATCCCTGGCCTTTGACCTGTGGGGTCCCGCAAGGCTCTATTCTGTCTCCCATGCTTTTTAACATCTACATGAAACCGCTGGGAGAGGTCATCCGGAGTTTTGGAGTTGGGTGCCATCTCTACGCAGATGACACACAACTCTACTACTCTTTTCCACCTAATTCCAAGGAGGCCTCTCGGGTGCTAGACGAGTGCCTGGCCACTGTGTCTATCTGGATGAGGACGAACAAGCTGAAGATCAATCCCGACAAGACAGAGGTCCTCCTGGTCGATCGTAAACCGGATCGGGGTATAGGGTGGCAACCTGTGTTGGACGGGGTTACACTCCCCCTGAAGCCACAGGTCCGCAGTTTGGGTGTCCTCTTGGATTCTTCGCTTACACTTGAGGCTCAGGTGTCGGCGGTATCCGGGAGGGCCTTTGCACAACTGAGACTTGTGCGCCAGCTGCGACCGTACCTCGTGAAGGCAGATCTGGCCGGGGTGGTCCACGCCTTGGTCACCTCTAGAATGGATTACTGCAATGCGCTCTACGTGGGGCTGCCCTTGAAGACGGCTCGGAAACTTCAATTGGTCCAGCGGGCAGCAGCCAGGATGTTAACCGGGGCTCATTATCAAGAGAGGTCTACCCCTCTGTTTAAGGAGCTCCACTGGCTGCCGTTTATTTTCCGAGCCCAATTCAAGGTGCAGGTGCTTACCTACAAAGCCCTAAACGGTTTGGGACCACCCTACCTGCGTGACCGCATCACTATCTACGAACCCACACGCTCGCTCCGGTCATCTGGAGAGGCCCTGCTCGTGATCCCACCTATGTCGCAAGTGCGCTTGGTGGGGACACGGGACAGGGCCTTTTCTGTGGCGGCCCCCCGACTTTGGAACGCCCTCCCAAAAGATCTCAGACAGGCCCCTACTCTAGCCGTCTTCAGAAGGAATTTAAAAACTTGGCTGTTCCGTTGTGCCTTCTCAGATTAGGAATCCCCACCCCAAGTCCAAATAGCACCTTAGCATAACAAATCGTTACTGCACACCGCACTTGAAATCCTACGTGCCTCCTGCCATTTCAGCACTTTTAATCCCTTGTACCCAGTGCGCCGGCCGAACCAGTTTTAATAATGTCTTGATGTACTGCTATTGTTGTTATTTTGCTATTGTTTGATTTGTTCTGCTTTTGTGATGTCTGTTTCTATTATATTGTGTTTTGTGGCCTCGGCCTGTGTAAGCCGCATCGAGTCCTTCGGGAGATGCTAGCGGGGTACAAATAAAGTTAATAATAATAATAATAATAATAATAATAATACACAGATAGGCAAACATTCAATGCCTTTAATACAGTGGAATAACAATGACACACAAATACGCAGAACAAAGGCAAAGGCTTCCCCTTTCATCTCTGGCTTCTGGATGCAGTGCTCAACTCTGGCCTTGGGGAGGTGCTCTTGTTCCATTTCCAAGCCAAGGAGCCTGTTGTCCATAGACACCTCCAGGCCGTGTTGCCGGCATGGCTGCATGGGCACCTTTATTACCTTCCCGCCAAAGTGGTACCTATTGAGCTCACATTTGCATGTTTTTGAACTGCTAGGTTGGCAGGAGTTAGGGCTGACAGCAGGAACTCATCCCAGCCCGTGGCTTCGAACTGCCAACGTTTAGGTCAACAGATTCAATAGTTCAACGGTTTAACCCATTGCGCCACTGCGGCCCCCTAATAATAGCAAAGTAATAGCAAAGGAGGGGGAAATCTTTGCTTTCTGGAAAGAATTCCTCTTGTATATGACTATCTTGTCTATCCATGTTGCACTTGCATTGTACCTTAAGGCAGGCACATACTCTGAAGCAGGGCTACCCAGCACTTAATGCATCCAGAATGGTGTTTTTGCCTTGAAGCTCCTTTCTACGTTGGGTGCATTATTTTCTATTTCTTACCTAATGTCAAAAAGGGAAGGAAAAAATGCTTCATGCCTGTGTTTCTGATCCTGCAGTGCTCTTCAGAAAAGCTCTTCTGGCAGTTTTCTTCTTAAGAAGAAAACGCTGGATTTGTTTTTGCTCCCCCCTCCCTTCTCATTGAATGATGTATTTGCTGTTCTGCAGGCTAAAGATGGTGTAGGAGAAGACAGATACCTTTTTGGAGAAGCATGCAGCAAAATCAGGGCGGAGGATGGATGGAATATTTGAAAATATGTGATCAGTAGTTTGTGTGTGTGTGTGTGTGTGTGTTAGAAGCGACTTGAGAAACTGCAAGTCGTTTCTGGTGTGAGAGAATTGGCCGTCTGCAAGGACTTTGCCCAGGGGACACTGGGATGTTTTACCATCCTTGTGGGAGGCTTCTCTCATGTCCCCGCATGGAGAGCTGGAGCTGACAGAGGGAGCTCATCCGCGCACTCTCCGGATTTGAACCTCTGACCAGTCGGTCTTCAATCCTTCTGGGACAAGGGTTTTAACCCATTGTTCCACCAGGGGCTCCTATAGATGAATCTATAGATCAGTAGATGAAACATGCATTTTCTAACCCTGATGGACTTTCTTGCAGGATTGCTTTATCTTAGTTGAGGTCTTGGGATCTGCTTTTGACCCAATACCAATTTTTCTACATTCCCATGTCTTTCAGCATCATTTATATGCCAGTAGTTTTGGTCTATAAACCCACTCTATCCTTCCTGGCCCCATGATGTTTGCCATCACTGAAATTCAGTGTGTTCAGTGCAGATATTTTTTAAAAGGGGTTGCTGTACATTAGCTAAAGCATAATAGGCAACACTGTTTGTGTGAGTCTTCTCTACATCTCAGTGGAAACAAGAAGAGCTTATTCTTTTCTTTGCCTTCTCTAGGTGGCATTGCTGGTGGCATTGAGATCTGCATTACATTCCCTACAGAGTATGTGAAGACTCAGCTCCAGCTAGATGAGAAGGCCAACCCGCCACGCTATAAGGGGATTGGTAAGTCTTACCGTTGTGGCCTAACGGGGCTGATGGCCACTGGATATTGCCTTGCAAAATCATGTGTGCAAACCAGAAATGGGCTAGCCCCTCTCCTTCGGAAGTTAGAGGGAAATGTCATATTTTACAAGAGAATACCGGTAGCATTCGGGACTTAATAGGGTTAAGCACTTGCCCAACTGACCCTGGAGTCTCTTGGCTCTTTTGCTTGTTTTACTCGTTGCTTTCCATTTTCTCTCCAAGCAAGTGAGCACTTATAGGAGAAAGGGCTTCTTCTCAACTTTCTCTTTTCCTTTATTTAGATCAGTGGCTCTCAACTTGTGAGTCCCCAGGTGTTTTGGCTTACAACTCCCAGAAATCCCAGCCAGTTTACCAGCTGTTAGGATTTCTGAGAGTTGAAGGCCAAAACATCTGGGGACCCACAGGTTGAGAACCACTTCTTTAGATCAGGGATGGGCAAAATGCAGCCTATAGTCTGGGAACCTTCTCTCAGGGCCATTTTAATGCCCAGTTAGAGTTGGGGGCATTTTTGCTACATTTCCAGCCATGTGGGTCATTTTAGATCCAGGACTAATTCAAAACGAGGCAGCGAACAGGAAATGGTTTCTGAAAAGGAAATGACTTCACATACAAAAAAGGAGAGATGATGGCTGTAGCCTATTTGAATCCTTTCCATCGGCATCTGATTTGCCACAGAATGCAAGACCAAAGAGGGCTTGCATCTGATCCAGAATGACTCTTATGTTCTTTGCCGCTACATTTATATCCTGCCTTTCCTTCAATGATGTCACTGTGATGTGCATTGCTCGTTTTGCAATCTCCTCTCAGGTCACTGTATCCTTGCAGAGTCTTGCTTCTATTTGTCCTGTTGAGCCTGGTGGCTGTCCCTCCTTGGTAGTTTCAAACTTGGACATTTCTCCCACGATGCAGCAGGCTACTAGCATCTTGATAGCAAAGAGGGATCCTGTGTGCAGTAGACAGTGGCGATTCCCAAGACGATTCACCGAGACGATTCCCCAGCCGAATCAGTAAAGAGGGTGGCAGGATGCCAGATCGACTGGAACACTCTGTATTGTCCCTTTTTGCTGATTTCATGCACAATGTAGTGCTGCGGCGTCTTGTTGCTGTTTGGCACCGGAGCTCACCTTGCAAGGCAGTCCTGAGCCAGGAGTTCAGAGTGGGCTGTTCAGTTGCCAGGACACAGAAAGGAGGGGAAGGGAGAGTGCCCAGACAATGCACCCATGCTGGGACCATGCTCTGATGAAATGGTCCTCTGGTGTGGAATCTACTCAAGGCATTCGGACGCAGGGCTGTTCTTCGTGTGCTGTCCTTTTCCCTCTCCCTACCTGCTTCTCTCTGAGGTAATGAAACATTTACTGGATGAAAGGGAGGAAAGGAGGGGGTAACTGAGGATACTCTGTACTTTGATTTGGCAGGAGAAACACTTGTGTTCTCACATCAGTTCCTACAGGAGATTCTGGGTTCAGGCCGTTGTTCGGTGCAAGGAGGCTGCGCATAAACTTGTGCTGAGCTCAGCTGTTTGCAGAGAGCCAGACACATGATGTAGTCTTCGATTTATACTGAGTCTGATTGTCTGGTTCACCCAGCCCATGATAGGCTCGTCTGGCAAAGATCGCACGTCTGTGGGGTTTTGGACAGATATCAGTAAGACTTGGACTTGGTATTAGGGAAAACTACAGGAGAGCATCCAAAAACAAACAGGATACAAAAGTTGAGCATCAGCTCATTAGCTAGCAAAGCGTGAAGTGCCGTGGAGGGAAACATGCAGAGTCCAATCTTGAAAAAATCACAAAAGGTTTATTTACAATAATAAGAAATGACTGCATTTCTTAATAATCAAGAACTGGGTCTGAGGTACTCCAACACCCACCTCTTCTAAGGTTTCAAAGAGAGGGAAAACCATCAAAACACTACATCTCTCCTGACAAACAAGCAGAGAGAGATCTCAAAGCACACAGCACATATTCTCAATACTAAAGTGTATGAAGGTAGAAGTCAGATTCAAAAAGCTTGCAGTAGAAAAGTATCAATTTTAAACAACTAATCAGAATGAGAGCAGAAACAGAGAGGAGAGAAGAAATTAGATATATTCCAAATGTCATACAGGAGACATGGAGGAAGGGAAACCCTCAGACTATTCTCATGCTAACTAAACTGTTCCTCATTGAGAACTTGAGACTTGGGCAGTGTGGGATTGAATCCCAACACTCGGAAGGTTCAGATGCAAGTCCCAACTGAGCCATGGAACTTGTTTTGTGACCATCACCATTTGTTACCCATTTTTCTTGCCGTTCAAGGCAAGTTACAACATGACTAAAACAGACCCAACACTATTAAAATACATATTACAAAATGCACACAAAGTGCCTTCCTTCCTTCCTTCCTTCCTCAGTCTGATTTACCTTGTAGAGTTCAAGTTAGAGAGGAGAGAGCCATATGCCCTCTTGAGCTCTTTGGAAGAAAGGCAGGATCTAAATGTACCATCTACTCCTCATGTGCTGTTTGTCCTTCTCCCTGAAAATGCCAGAGATTGAGGCTGGGATTTTTGACATTCCAACAACATGCCCTACCCCATTTCTAAGGTCTCTTATATTTTGGCCATGATGATCCTGTATAAAGCCACCATCTTTTGTAGTTTCTCTAGCCCCATATTGTGTACTCCAACCATCAGGTCTTGAGGAGAGGCTTTCCATTTCACCTCCTATAGGTCTTCTTTCTTTTTTGCTGGAGTTGGCAGGAATTTGAGTGCCTTACAATGTGGTTCTTTACTGTCACCAAAATAGAAGCCCATGCTGCCAAAACTACTTTTTTGTGTGTGCATCTGATGGTCTCAAGATACCTTGGAAGCAATCTTGTTTTAATTGGATAGTTTTTCTGTTGTAAAACGCCCCCTTGTGGCACAAAATACCGCGTAAGTAATATTTCTTTATTACTTTTGACCATATTCCTCCTCTAAATGATTAAAGGTAGACAAAATAGGTGAACCTGAAGTAACATTATCTCTCTTAAGGTTTCATAAACCTTCCAGGATGTCTTGAGGGTGAGACCTTGACCTATTCAGCCTGTGGCTTACACTGGGAGATCACATATATTGAGAATATGTTCAACAGTACTGATAAGAATAATATCCCCGTGGTGGTGGTGATGATGACGGTGACAATGATAATAATAATAATAATAATTTTTTATTTATTCCTCGGATCTTCTTTAGGCTTAATGATGTTGCTCTTTTTTCTCCCACCAGGGGACTGTGTGAAGGTGACGGTCCGAGACCATGGGATCAAAGGCCTGTATCGGGGCCTCAGTTCGTTGGTATATGGCTCCATACCGAAGGCTGCTGTGAGGTAATGGAGATATTTTGGATTTCACTTTGGCTCTGCTGCACTCAGGTAGTGAATGTAGATGGCACACTCCATAGCCAAATAATAATTAAATAATGCTTAAAGCTCAGAATAGTCTGCAAAGGGATTAGCCAGGACAGAAGGGATTGAACAGAGCCCTAGTGGATATGGCTGCTGCCATTTCTCTTCTTAGCCAGGATAATAGTTATTTCTCTCCTTAGGAAGTTGATTATTTTTGTGATTCTTATTATTTTAAATGTATGTTCTAAATCGGTGTTTCTCAACCTGGGGGTCAGGAACCCTGGGAGGGTTGTGAGGGGGGTGTCAGAGGGGTTACCAAAGACCATAAAAAAACAAAGTATTTTGTGTTGGTCATGGGGGTTTCTGTGTCGGATGTTTGGCCCAATTATGTTGTTTGTAAGGTTCAGAATGCTCTTTGATTGTAGGTGTATGATAAATCCCAGCAGCTACAACTCCCAAATGTCAAGGTCTATTTCCCCCAAACTCCACCAGTGTTCACATTTGGGCATATTGAGTATTCGTGCCAGGTTTGGTCCAGATCCATCATTGTTTGAGTCCACAGTGCTCTCTGGATGTACATGAACTACAACTCCAAAATTCTAGGTCAATGCCCACCAAACCCTTCCAGTATTTTCTGTCGTTCATGGGAGTTCTGTGTGCCAAGTTTGGTTCAGTTCCGTCGTTGGTGGAGTTCAGAACACTCTTTGATTGTAGGTTAGATATAAATCCCAGCAACTAAAACTCCCAAATGACAAAATCACCCCCCTCCCACCCCACCAGTGTTCAATTTTGGTTATATTGGGTATCTGTGCCAAATTTGATCCAGTGAATGAAAATACATCCTGCATATCAGATATTTACATGATGATTCATAACAGTAGCAAAAATACAGTTATGAAGTAGCAACAAAAATAATTTTATGGTTGGGGTCACTACAACACGAGGAACTGTATTAAGGGGTCGCGGCTTCAGGAAGGTTGAGAAACTGGTGGAGTTTGGGACTGTAACAGCAACCAGTTGCTTTTGAAAGCATTTGTCCACACAACATCCTTTCCTTCATGGGCTGCTTCTCTTCCCATCCAGGTTTGGCATGTTTGAATTCCTCAGCAACCACATGAGAGATGCTGAAGGGAAGCTGGACAGCAAACGTGGCCTCCTTGCTGGCTTGGGAGCTGGCGTGGCAGAAGCTGTGGTCGTGGTGTGCCCTATGGAAACAATAAAGGTATAACTAGGGGCAAAGGGAACAAAAGAGCACACATTCTAAGCAAGCCTCAACACCTCTGATTTCTTTGCTTTCCTTCTTAAAATGGAGACAGGAAGTGTTGTGGCATCACTTCTAGTTACCATTTTGAGAGCGACTGCAGAGTGAAATGGAAGTATTTGAAAGTAATCAAGTTTTTTGGGATGCTTTTGGGAAGGTGTGGGTTTTTTGCATGGTATGGAGTTGAGGTGCTTTCTGTATAGTTTTGGGGCATCAATTGCCCACAAGTTGTGCTAGTTTTTTAAAAAAAAGATTGGGGGTGAGGGCTACAGGAGTCACGGAAGTAGGAACCAGAGATTTTCTTAGGCAAAGAACACTCCATAGTGCTTCCTCTGAAGTAGTCTTCCAGTATCTGGTATTGTTTGGCCGTACTCTCTTCAACTAGTCACCAGACCAAACTTTGCTTTGCTTCCAAGGTCAGACAGGATCTGGTGCTTATTCTGTATTCCAATGAAATAAACATGCAGCCAAAATCAAATCTGACAGACCAAAAGGCCAGTGATTAATATGGGAATGTAGCAAGCTAGCAGAGAGAAAAAATAAAGCCATTCATTCATCTTCTGCTAAGCCACTTGCTCACCTGTCCTGAATTCCTCTTTGCCTCTGGCAACTAGATGAGATGCTGTCCTTCTCTTGGACCTTTTATTTCAAGAGGCTCTTGAGAACCGTCTTTAAATCAGGGTGTTGTACCTTCCCAAAATAATAATAATAATCATCATCATCATCATCATTCATCATCATCATCTTTATTTATATTCCACTCTATCTCCCCAAGGGGACTCAGGAGTGGATTACAGTATAAACATATATAGGCAATCATTCAATGCCTTTTTATACAGTGAACAATGACATACAATACACAACAACAACAACATTTTTATTGATTATCCAGTTGGCCCTATCAAAAACAGACAGTGCAAACACAACATACGTCTGGTCCTCTTAAAATAGAATACAAATATATAGGTATTTATCAACTTAAAACCAATGTAACTTAGCCGTAGATATATGCATCAACTATCCTCATCTCCCCTACACTGCACCCCAATCTGATCTATGAACTTTGATCTCCTTTTAGCAGCTTTAAACAAATAAAGAACAACTTTTGTTGTCAGAATGGGGTTGTAACCAGACAACAAAAATGAGGTTTTGGCCGCTGTATCCCAGCTTATTTTATTGCAAATAAAAGGCCATAAATATTGTTTCCTTTCTATTTCATATAGATTGCAGTGATGTAAAATGTGGTTCAGATTTTCAACTTCGGGGGCGCCACAGATACATAGTCTTTCTTCATGAGGGATATGATTGAATGACATACAATACACAAACAAAGCCAAAGATTACCTTTCCATCTCCAATGTCTGGAGGTGATGCTCAACTCTGACCATGGGGAGGTACTCTTGTTCCATTTTCCATGCCGAGGAGCCTCATGTCGGTAAAGCCTCCTGGTCATGTTTTGCTAGCATGGCTGCATGGGCGCTTTTTGCCTTTCTGCTGAAGTGGTACTTAATTATCTACTCAGATTGCATGTTTTTGAACTGCTAGGTTGGCAGGAGCTAGGATTGACAGCTGGGAGCTCACCCCGACCTGTGGCTTCAAACTGCCAACCTGGTCAGTGAGTTTTTTTGCAGCTAGCAATTTAACCTGCTGTGCTACCGTGGCCCCCCAAGAGAGAAGGGCATATCTCTGACTTGCTCATCAGTTCTTTGCTGCTCTTTGTCCGCAGGTGAAGTTTATCCATGATCAATGTTCTCCAAAGCCAAAATATCGAGGTTTCTTTCATGGAGTGCGGGAGATTGTTCGGGAACAAGGTGAGCTGAGAAATTGTTGTCTTTTCTCACTGCGAGGCAATCCTTTGGCTTATCTCTATATGCTCCTGCAGCCAGAGTGGATCAAGTGCTCCTTGTTGTTCCAGGGAGTAGGATTAGAATTAATTGACGACAGAGGCAGATTGAGACGAAGTGTTAGAAGAGGCTTCCCAATGACAGGAGTTGGACGGTGGAGCTTGCTGGCCTTTGAAAAGTACAGCCTGTTTTCTTACTGGGCCTACTTCTTTGGCTAACATTTTTCCATTTGGAGTTCAGCCAGAAAGACTCTGGGACAAAGAAACTTATTTTTTTAAATACTGCAGTAAACAATGTAGTTCTAGATTCCTCTTTAGGTCACCAAAAGAATGTGTGTGAGAGAGAGAAGAAGAGAAATGTATACAAGATGTGATCACCATCAGCCAGTATCGGGGGCTTGTGTTTGAGGTTTTTCCACTGTTAACTTCTCTATTTTTCATTGCTTCCTTTTGCTGTAGGCCTCAGGGGCACCTACCAAGGTTTAACAGCCACTGTCCTAAAACAGGGATCAAACCAGGCCATTCGCTTTTTTGTCATGACAGCACTCAGGAACTGGTACAAAGGTATTTGGAGAGCACGCTTTTTTATAATTTCCTATTAATGTCGTCCTTTTCTACCTTCTTTGAGATTGGCACAGAATGATGGCAGAATCTGGAGTCCACTAACTGAAAAAGGAGGAAAAAAATTTAAAAGAGAAAAGAAAATTGCTATTTGGTTTGACATATTTGGTCCAACATAGGTAAAGGTTTTCCTCTGACATTAGGTCCAGTTGTGTTCGACTCTGGGAGTTGGTGCTCATCTCCATTTCTAAGCCGAAGAGCTGGCATTGTCTGTAGGCACCTCCAAGGTCATGTGGCCAGCATGACTTCATGGAGCGCTGTTACCTTCCCGCCAGAGCGATACCTATTGATCTACTCACAGTTGCATGTTTTCGAACTGCTAAGTTGGCAGAAGCTGGGACTAACAGTGGGAGCTCACACCGCTCCCTGGATTCGAACCTGCGAGCTTTTGGTCAGCAAGTTCAGCAGCTCAGCACTTTAACCCACTGCACCACCGGGGGTTCAAACCCAACTTTGGTCCTACAATAAATACTAGATTTAGGGTGGTTTTGTTGTGATTCTTTGCATTGCGGCCCCTATCTGCCCCTTCCTTTCTTGTTTAATGACAAAAGGCACATCAGAAGCATCTATATCTTTTATGGTACCACAAGAATCCTTTTAAGAAAAGGTGTTATTTGGCAGTTAATCTGTGCTTGTTGTGTTATGTTATGTTATGAAATATTATGATGTATTTTAGCTATGTTGTGCCTGGCCTTGAGCAGTAAGATGAGACGGGTAATACATTATTATTTTTATGTTGTTGTTGATATTGTTATTATTAAAACCTCTGAGGAGGAGGGCTGTTTAATCCGTTTCCTCTTCACTTGGGGTAATGAGGACTTAGCTCTTTACTCCAAAAAGTAACATCAACCTAGTCCTCTATTTTGACTTTTTTTCTAAATAGATCTAGGCAAGGTTCTGTTTTTGACACTGCCTAAAAAGCAACAAGAAACCACCATTGAAGATTTTATTATAAATAAGAAGGTTACGTTCTACTAATTTCAGCATCACACACTTAAAAGTATCTTGGCTTAGGATGAGAATCATAGCCCAACCTATCTGGAGGGGTGGGCACTAGGTTGATAAGCTTTTAAAGTACAACCCATTCCTATTATAAATGTTGGTTGCTACTAACCCCCTACATTCTGTTTCTTTGTTTGTACTGTTATCTGCTCTTCTAGGGGACGATACAAATAAAGTCATAAACCCTCTTGTGACGGGATTATTTGGGGCTGTGGCTGGGGCAGCCAGCGTTTTTGGAAACACCCCGCTGGACGTTGTGAAGACCAGGATGCAGGTACACAACACACATCCATGGTGATGGGCTGGGGCACTATCTGGCAGCCTTGCATTGCTTTATTTTAGATCTAAGTTCCTTTGGCAGTGTTTGGTTATTCTCAGAAATAACCCCAAGGAGTTATTGTATTTTGTTGCATAATAGTCACACTTTTTATCACACTTTTTATCCTCTTTTTTTTGTTGGAGGTGCAACTACTATGTGTTTTTTTTCTGTGTCAAAAGTGACTATGTGTTGTTGTTTTTTCTGTGTCAAAGGTGACTTTCTACCAGATTTGATCCGGGTAGGCCCCTTAAAAATATCAAAGATGGGATACATGACCATTGGGAATCTTTCATATTGGGATCTTTGGTTGAGGATATTGGAGCATTGCCTTGGGACAATGTTACATATTTAATATTTTTCCAGGAATATTGACAATGTATACGACCATTTCCCATTTTCCTTTCCTTCTTTGGTTTGCAGGGTCTTGAGGCCCACAAGTACAAGAGCACCTGGGACTGTGCCTATAAAATCATGAAATACGAAGGACCTCTTGCGTGAGTCTTGAATGCTTTCTTTCAAAATGCATTGCTGTTTTTCGACCCACCAGAACATGATGGAAGCATGAAAGCTTTGGACTCTGTCAGGCTTGGCAGTCTGAAAAAAAAGAGACAGAGAAGACCAGAATAGTCTCAAAATTGGGCCAGACATTGTGCAGTTCAAGTCTGCAGTTCAGACCCTCAGAATGAAGGCTGAGAATCAGATGAAGTAATCCTTGGTGGATGCTACAGACATTGTACTTACAATGTATTCTGGGACAAAACAAAAACACATCATGGCTGATCTCCTTTTCTGCAAAGTAAAGGCCAATTGTGCCTTAAGAGTTGTCTCTTGCCTCAAGGCATACTGGGAAATAGCAATACACGATGACCTCTGTATCCATGCGGGATACCTCCCAGGTCTTCAGTCCTATTGAAGAAGTGACTGCCGACAAAAGCATGCCATGTAGTCATGAAGGAGGACCTACTAGGAAATACCTAGAGGGGTGCTTCTTTAGGCATTGCAGGGTCCTCCAGTGCGACTTTATGGTCAACGTCATGTGGATCCATACTTAATTGACTTGCTTGGAGAACCTTGAGGGGACATATTTTGTCAGATGTGGGTAAATTAAGCCACTTGTACTGGTCCAGTGGATATGGGGGTTGTATTGTGTAGTAGCAGGAGATACTTTTCAAAGGGGTATAAGGTGGAATTCCTCTAGGGGTGCGGGCTGCTCCAAGGATGCCCTTATTTGGTGCTGAGCCTGAATGGGGTTATGGTAGTGATGAGCTGTCGATTGACTCCCAAGTCTTTTGCTGATTGTGCCCACTCACCTTTGGCCTCTCCTCTCATAGGTTCTACAAGGGCACCATTCCTCGCCTGGGCCGGGTCTGCTTAGATGTGGCCATTGTCTTCATCATTTACGACGAAGTGGTCAAGGCCCTCAACAAAGTGTGGAAGACCGACTGAGCACTTAGGGCCTGCAGCAGAGACACGACCATCTCCCCACCTGCCAGGCAACAGCTGGGAAAAGAGCATGACCACAGAAGGCATTCTAGGGGGGATGATTTTGTTGTTGGGTGTTTTTTTTTTTTTTTGCTGTGAGGGGCCCCCAGCAGGCAGGCCCCCTCCATGGGTTCAAACCAGACTCGAATAGAGTCCCCGAGCTGCTGTTTCTATACCAGGCTTCGTGATACATATTTATCAGAATTAACTGTAGAGATTTTTTAAAATTATTGATTGTACACTGACATGACCAGGGGACATTTGGAAAGGGAAGGGCACGGAATTGCAGGGGCGGGGCCGCATTTATGTGCCACCTTTTGGCTAGGCCTTTTTCTGCCAACTTGAGCAAGGACAGTTCACTTAGTGCCTATAAGAAAGAGGGAGAAAAAGTGCCCTCCAATGTGGAGTGTTTTGGAATCAAAGCCAATTCTTCCCATTGGATTTGGGATGGTAATGGTGGGGTTTGCTTTTAATTGAGTTTTAGTTATTCTGCCAGTAATTGAACCCATAGATGAGCTCAAGATTGGGGGGCAAGGGGGTTAGATTTACAACTTTGTGGACTGTCTTCAAGTCTGCTGATGTGCACTCACCTCACTCACACACGCACATGTTTTTGTTTTTGTTTTTTGGTGATATGGACACGCTTTAACAAATGGAGAAAGGACTTTGGAGATGAAGGCAGCAAGAAAAACCTTGAGCACATTCCACGGTCATCCTCCAACGGCTTTCTCTCAGCAGAGAGCAGCACCTTGTGGCTTTTCTTTCTCTTCTGAGCCACAGCCAGGCTTCTGGCCCAGATAGGGATCACACCACTGCATTTGCGTGGCTTTTTCTTTCTCTCCCTCTCCTTTTAATTTTCTTTAAAATGGTTTGGATGGCTCAGGAACAGAGGAAGGCATCTCCGTTTGTAGATGTGTCTGTCCCCAGCACCAAGAGTAGGGGAAGCTGTTGTCTAGAGGTAGGAAACCTCTCCAGATTTACAACGCCTTTACCCACTAAGGGAGTCCCACACACAAGGGGCAGTAGCTGCCCGGGGCAGCATGGGCAGCTGCTGTGCCAAGGTGAGGGAGCAGCTGCTACACCAATGGCAAAGACTCTGGTAGACCTTGACTTCTGTTCCCATCAGCTGGTGCCATTCATTTTGTAGGCTGGCAAACAGCATCTACCACAGGTGCCTAAAAATCTATTTTTCCTTTTTCCTTGAGTATCCTTGTTTCCCAAAATGTTGTTGCAGGGCATCTCTCAGAACTGCTGGCCTTTAGCCCTGCTGTTTGGGAGTTTGAAGCCCCATGATGTTTGATTGCAGCGGGAAGAGGAATATTTACAGTTTTTGAAGGCATCGTAGGGCACAATGGTAAGGAGTGGGCCCAGTTGCCCCGGAGGGTCTAGCCTCTTGCCAACTCAGAGAAATGGAGCTGATGGAAGGGGCTGGAGGTGGGCACAGAGGTCTTGGAAGCTGCTGACAGTGCCATCCAATGTCACCATTCCTTATTTTTCAGCCCTAGAGATAGGACACCTGTGACCTTCTTAAGTCAGTGGTGTCAAACTTGTGGCCCTCCAGATGTTTGACATCAGCTCCCAGAATTCCTGACCATTGGACAAGCTAGATAGGGCTTTTGGGAGTTGGAGTTTCAAACACCTGGAGAGCCACAGGTTTGATACATCTACTCTAAGCCGTCTTGGACTGTCCCCTTCCTCAGTTGAACCGGCATGGCAATGCTGAAGGATGTTAGGAGTTGCATTCCAGCACTGCACAGAGGGCTAGACATTCCCCTTTGTTCTACCCTTTTTCCTATGGCATTAGTGTTGCTCACATGCTAAGGAGATGCTTTAAAATGAATGTGTCCCCCCCCACCTTTCCATTATGAAAAATGACCTTCTGTGTTTGTGTAGCTTTTCCTGCTGAGTTGGGAGGGACAACCTTTCTTGCTCCCACAACAAACTCATTCCATAACATTTGCTTGTTTACATTTTCGGCTTGGAAGACGGATGCTTAGGCCTTAAAGTCAGCCAATGGCAACATGAGCTCTCCCTTTGGTGTTCTGAGGCACTCCAGTCTAGATACAAAGGGGTGCTTCCTTTTCCAAAGAGTCTTCTGTCTCCCCCCCCCTTTCCCCCCTCTCATTTGGTTTGAGGGCCACAGCAAGTCCCTAACGGAATAATTAAGATGTGACAAACACAACGCTGAATTTAGTCCTGCTTGTACTTTATTGGGAGGGGACTGCCTAATCGTGTCTTTTTGTTGTCCAGGTGCCAAGAGAGCTTGCGGCAATACCAATCCGCGTCTGTGCCAAATTTTGTATATGTTTGTCTTTTTTGTACACTTAGTGACCCCCCCCCCCCCCACACACACAAAAATCCCAGTGTTTGTTAACTCGCTGCTGTTGAGTTAGTTAAATGCAGCCTGTTGTTGATGGAGATGAGCGATGGAGGGAGAAAGTCGAGCGACCTCTGCTCCCTCCACCATGTTTACAGGTATGGTAGGGTTGCCAGTTGAATAAAATTATATGGCTGATTTTAAGATGTTTCGGTCTGTAGCCAGACTGTGTGAACTGTTTTGGACTGGAGCTTTGGGTAACCAACTGAACATGCAAGCGCACTGGCTGCAAGTGATAGACTTCTGATTTCACAAAAATTGAGCTATGCCTTGGCAACATTCCCCCCCCCCCCCCCCCCCCCCCCCCCCATGCTCACACATTTGTGGCTTCGAATGTTAGGCTTACTGTTGTAAGATGTTCCATCTACTATGGGCTTTGATAGGCAACTGAAGGATGATTCCTGTGCCAACTGTGTGACTGAGCCAAGGTGGGGCAAGTTGCTTCTCTTCTTCACGCCAAGGCTTTGTTACCTGGACTTGTATTGAATGTTTTCCACTCTCTCACTCTGTGCCCCGGCAGCCCGACACTAGAATGATTCTGGAATATCTGAGCTCTCCAGCAGGGATGCCAACAATAAAACCAAAGTTGCCTGTTTAATAAAGTCACTTATGCCCCGGCAGCCCGACACTAGAATGATTCTGGAATATCTGAGCTCTCCAGCAGGGATGCCAACAATAAAACCAAAGTTGCCTGTTTAATAAAGTCACTTAGCTGTTTTATTTCATTTGGGGAACCTTTGGGCTCTCTCCCACCAGTTCTTAACCCCACAGGAAGGACTGGGAGGGAAGAACTCACCACTGCTTTGCTGAACAACCAGAATTCTTCTGTCCAAGGTGGGCAACTGTTGTGTTGGCCTGCAGCTCACATCAGGCCTAATCATCTCAGCCAAAGGTGGGAGATTTTGGGAGTTGCAGCCCAGAACCATCTGAAAAGCCTTCTTGCTGTTACAGTTGTGTCTTAACTGCTCATTTAGTCACTACTGGTGAGAAGGCAGTGGAAAAGAAGGGCATTTGGCCTCTGCTAGGTCATTTTGGTTTCCGTGCTGCCTTTTCTCCTGTAAGAAGTATAGCAGTGAAGTCAGTTGGTGAAAGGAGGACATGAAAGTGAGTAAAATCTGGCTACCTGTATTAAAAAAAACTCTAAAATTATAACAGCAAATAAAGAACAACACTCAAACACAGGGAAACACCAGACAAGAAACAATCCGGGACAGTGAATCACCTCTCAGCAAAAGATTCCCCCAGGCTGTAACAAGCCACACCTAAAAACTGTCAGGCCATCAAATGCTAGTCAAGGTGGCCAGTTGAAACATTCACACCTACCTCCAACAGACAAGAGTGCTTTTTCCCATCCTGGACATTCCACAGATATGTAAACCCAATTTTCCTAGTTTCCAACAGACCTCACAACCTCTGATGATTCCTGCCATAGATGCAAGTGAAACGTCAGGAGAGAATGCTTCTAGAACATGGCCATATAGCCCGAAAAACCTACAGCAACCCAGAGGAAAGGTTGACTGGTAGCAAACAAACTTAGGTTGTATGTTCTCCTGAAGCCTATCCCTGTCCAATGTCCTGCTTATGTTGTCCTCTTGTCACTTGGGAATTCACTTTCCCAGAATTCCTAGTCACATAGTTTTTATCCAACTGTGGATATGTTGCATGGGAAATGGGTCTTAAGAACATCCCTCTTGCTTTGTTACCATAAGAGGGTTTAGCAAGACCAGTCATTCTTGTTACTGCGTGCTTTCGAGGTAACGGCGTAGTAGTGGTGAGGCTGCAAACCATATTTTTGGCCTTGCGGACCGCTGGTGGTCCACAGACCACAGGTTGAAAACCACTGATGTACGAGGGTTGAATGAAAAGTAATGCCTCCACCTTCATAACTCCTCAACTGAAGGCAGTATTGGTATGCAGCAGGTACTGGCTTGTTCAGTACTCTCCCCTGCAGTTCCATTTTGGCGGGAAGCCGTAGCATTGACCAGTTGTGTTGTTAAAGTGTGAAGTATGGAACCCTGCGCAGACAGTGGGTCAACGTGACGTAAGCAACGTACAGTCATTGAATTCTTGACTGCAGAAGGTGTCACCCCAAAGGAGATTCTTCAGAGAATGCAAGCTGTTTATGGTGATTGTGTTGATGTGAGTACTGTGCACCGTTGGGCGAGTAAGTGTAAAGATGTTGAGGTGGGAATATCTGACTTGCGTGACAAAGAGTTGGACATCCTGTGACAGTAACCAGCGAGTTTCACAAGCAGAAGGTTGACAGATTGATTGAGGACGATTGTCGTATCAGTCAGCGAGAAATTTCAAGCATAATCGACATTTCACAAGAACGTGTGGGTCACAATATTGCTTTACTTGGCTATCCGAAGATCTGTACACAATGGGTACGTTGAGAGAACTGTCAGACAATGGTTGAGGAAACAGAGTGTGGACTTCTTCCGTGACTGCTTCAGAAAACTTGTTCATTGTTAGCAGAAATGTATCCAATTGTCTGGTGATGATGTGGAAAAGTGAATAATGGTAGTTAAAGAGCACATTCTAATGATTATTTCTGCGTTTGATTTATTAAAATATTCCCATCCAAACCCAAATAACGAAGATGGAGGCATTACTTTTCATTCAACCCTTGTAGAACCATTCAGATTCTTTGGACTACAATTTTCATCATCCCACCCTAGCCAGCATTATAGCCAACATCTCGGAGCACCGTATGATCTACCTGCATACTTTGTCTCCTTGTGAAAGATTGCTTTGTGTGGGGGGGAAATAGAACTATCAGTTTGTGGATTTGTTTCCAAGGACTGAGGCATAATGACAAGGCATTATAGGAAATTATCCACATCTAAACAGAAGTAAGAACACTTTCCATGGAAGGTCATATGAGAAGACTGGAGGAAATGTAAGACTTTTCTTCCTTGCTTCACGTTTTGGTGAAATTCCCCCTTTTGAAGCTTGTGTTATTGATACCCCTTTTTTAGACCACTGAAAACATGCCAAGGATAATACGATACAGTAAATTTTCTACCTGGCAAAATCTATACACACAATAAAAATGAAAATATGTGGGTGTGTGTCCACTTACACAGGCTCCCACTTCCACAAATAGCTACAACTCCCACTACTCAGGAGACACCAATGGCCCTCCCTCCAATGACATGGCAAGTTATAGAGAGTGGCGTAAACATACAGGAGTCCTGCCAATGTCCTCTGCAAACACGATACTGCCCACCACACAAGTGAAGGCTTTCATACAGGGACATCTGTGGTGTTTTTCCTCCATCAGACATCCCAGTGTTTCTGACTCTCTCCATTGCTGTGGAATTTGCATGACCCTGCCCACAGCCTCTCCCTTAACCCTTTCCTATTCTTTTCTATGGCACACAGCAAACAGAGAAATTGATCAGCAACTGAACATACTAGAGAGGTTTGGGGAGAATTCACCATGATTTATAGAAGTTGTAGGAACTGGGATGTATAGTTCACCTGCAATCTAAGAGCACTCTGAACTCCACTAATGATGGACCTGGAATTAACTTGGCACACGGAACCCCCATGGTCAACAAAAAATACTGGAGGTCTTTGGAGGGATTTATAGGAGTTGCAGATCTACATCAAGAGCGCACTAGGAACCCAAACAATGATGGATCTGGACCAAATTTGGCACACATACCTGATTGTGGCAGAATGTAAAATAAACCATTTTACACATTTTAGTGCACATTTTGATCAGCCCACACACTGCCCTGCCAGATGCCATGCAGATAACAATCAAGAACAAGTATTTACTCTTAATTAAGAGCAACATATGTACAATACGATCAGTTGCATCAACTCACTAAATGTTCTTTCAGAGAGATTTACAATGGTATTTCTTTGTCCATATGACAGACCTTTTCAGCAAACAAGAAGCAAATCACTCTGTCTCTACTTCTCTTCAAACTGACTTCTCTGAACACCTGCATAACTCAAGCCTGTAAAATGCAACAGTATCCAAAAGTTCTAGGCTGAGCCATCACCCCATTCATTGCCTGACCAATCTTATTTTGCAGTTGACACACACACTCACTAATTCCTTGCATGCTCCAACAAATTTGAATACTGGTGGGCATTGGGGGGAATTGGCCTGGACATTTTGGAGTTGTAGGCACTGGGATTTATAGTTCACCTGAAATCTAAGAGCACTCCGAACTCCATCAAAGATGGAATTGGACCAAACTTGGCACACAGAGCCCCCATGAACAGGGAAAAATACTGGAAGTCTTTGGGGGAAATTCAACTTGATTTGGGGGAGTTGTAGTTCACCTACATCCATAGAGCACTGTGAACCCAAACACTGATGGATCTGGACCAAACTTGGCACACATACATGACTTGCTGAAATGTGATTACTGGAGGGGTTTGGAGGGAACTGACCTTCCTTTCTGGGAGTTGTAGTTCGCCCACAACCAGAGAAACTGTGACCTCTCTCCACTGATGATGGACCTGGACCAAACTCGGCACACAGAACCCCCATGATTAACTCAACCTACTGGAGGGGTTGGAGGGGACTGACTCACCATAGTGGGAGTTGTAGTTTACTCTGCAGCCAGAGAGCACATTGAACCCCACTGATTATGCATTAGAGCAAACTTGCCCAACATAACAAACTTCAAGTACTGCTGGGAGTTTTTCGAGGTTAACCTGGCATGGTGTGAGTTGTAGTTCACCCACAAACTTATGCATTTTCTACAATTAAAAAATTGATTTTTTTCAAATAACTTGGGCAATGCCGGGTAACCAAGCTAGTACACAATATATTATGTTATAAGGTATAAAACCTGACATACAAGCATGCATGTATTATATCTAAGAATGAATAACCATTTAGGATTAAACTTCTAAAAGGAAGCTTCTTAAAACTTCCATGTTAAACTTTCCAAGAGACCAACCTTTCTCGTTCTGAGATGCCAAGTGAGGCATTGATCAAATCTTTTGGGATATTCTTTCCATCCCTAGTCCACTGGAGTTTAAAAAAAAAGAACCAAGAATCTTGCAGTATCTTCAAGGCCAGGTAAACTGGAAGCTGAGATTGGTGCACATCCCAACCAAGGTAAAGGTGGCCGCGAAAAGATCAGCCAGATCACCTCTTTCTTTTCTTGTTCCCAAAAAGATCTCTTCTTTCCAAATTGTATCAGAGGAAGAAGGAAGAGTTGACAACGCAGTGCTAATTCCTGCCACCTCATACACACTCTAGATATGTCCTTACTCTATACTTAGACAGTCAAGATCTGCACAGTGAAAGTATTGGTATTCTCTGTAATAACCTACGGATGTGAGAGCTGGACCATAAGGAAGGCTGAGTGACAGAAGATAGAACTTTTGAACTGTGGTGTTGGAGGAAAATTCTGAATGCCTTGAGCAGGCATGTAGGGGGGGGGGGGCTAGAGGGGCTTCAGCCCCCCCCCCCCAAATTCTCATGGTGGTTCGCACGAAAGGCCTTACTGGTGCATTATTTAAACTGTTATGTTTATTCATATCATGATCTGATCACCATACTCAATATATCCCATATGCATGGGGGTATTGGGGTAATGATACAAAAGGTTTGCTAGGCTAGACCCTCTTTCACTCAGACTCAGCCCCCCCCCGAAACCCCCCCCTAAAAATCCCCCCCCCCCCCCCCCCGAATCGAAATCCTGGCTACGAGCCTGCTTGGACCTCAAGAAGAACAAACCAGTCCATACTCCAGGAAATAAACCCTGACTGTTCACTGAAGGGAAGGATATTGGAGGCAAAGATGAAGTACTTTGGCCACACCATGAGAAGACAGGAAAGCTTGGAGAAGACGATGATGCTGAGGAAAATGGAAGGAAAAAGGAAGAGGGGCAGACCAAGGACAAGATGGATGGATGGCATCCTTGAAGTGCCTAGCTTGACCTTGAAGGAGCAGCGGGTTGGAGCTCTTTTGTGGGCTGGTCCTTGAGATCACAAAGAGTTGAAAAGGACTGAACGAATAAATAACAAAAAACAGTCAACTTCTATAGTTCACACTTGAAGAACAAACTCCCATGACAAATCCATAAAACGCCTACCGAGAAAGGAAAATGCAACGAGGAAGAAATGGCTGCTCCCAAGTCAGAAGAAGAGGCAAAGAAATTAGTTATTCACATCAATTCCCAGATGCCCAACAGAGTTGTATTACATAATAATTCACATTATAGTTTAAGTCCAAATAACCATTCGACCATGACTAGCGACCAAGTTTTGAATCCCCCTTTGCCCACAAAACCCTACTTGGGCAAATCACTTTAACCCTCAGGAAGGCAATGGCAAACCCCTTCTGAGCAAATCTTGAGAAGAAAACCCTATGCCAGGCCTTGGGCTTGCCATCCAACTTAAAGGCACACAACAACAAACCTGTCTTGGGATGGAAACTGAATGAATACCCTATGCCAAGAAAATGTGAGTGACATCTAAATGACTGGCCAGATAAAGTATAACTCTTAAGTTGGTGTGCTCCTAGGCATTGCAGTAGAGTCTTGCTAATTCAACCTGTATTATCCAACGCAGTCTGCCTCTCACCCGAATCCACAGCTGTTCCAATACATTGCGATGCTTTGGTGCTTTGTTGTTGTTTATTTGTTCAGTCGCTTCTGACTCTTCATGACCTAATGGACCAGGCCACGCTGATATCGAGCTCTTTTAGGGGGCCCCTCCAATGAGGAGAGCCCTAGGACTACACCAAAGAGAGTCCTGGATACCTTGGTGAGATTTTTCCGGAAGCCAATCCAAGAGAATATATAATCAGCTCACCAGAGGCGGAAGAAGTCCAGCGATCGAGGTTTATTTGCGATTCAGCTGAGTCGGATGCGATTGTAGGGATAGTTCCTCTACAAGCATACAGATACAAAGATTTCAGGCATTTTTATACAGTACAGGACAAAAGAAAGCAGTTTGAAACTCCCGCCGCCCCTTGCCGGCCGGCTTGCCGCTGATTGGTTGAGGCTGGAACAGCTGGGAGGAGGCTTGGCGGCCCGCCTCAACTTTCAGCCAATCAGAATGTTTCCACGCCTCGGGAGGGCCAATGAGCGCCCTCCGCTCGCTTCCGAGCCTGGACCAATCAGGAGCGAGGAGGCGGGATGCCCGTGGGCGAAGGGGGAAAGATGATGGGATTTGGGTTTCCTGCCAGCTGGAATGCGGGCTTTTGTCCCAGGCGGGAAGAGGGTGATCCTGACAAACAAAGAGCTTTCCAGTCCTTGATGGGCTTTGGGGAGCATTATGAATAAGCTAGATTGATATCGGACCACCCGGAGGGTCAACAATATCTTGGTGATATATCAGTCCTTTCCGAGGCTCTGCTGACCCCCCTTTCCCTCGCTGGCCTTGCTCCGATGGCTAGGGTTGGGGATCAGCAGTATTGTCCATGCTGATGAGTCAATCAATGGTGATTGAGGAAGAGGCTGGGGCTCTTTCCTCAGGCAGTTCCTGGTCACGCCGGTTTTGTGGGGCGAAGGTCAAGGGGGGGGTGAGGATACAGAGGAATTCATAAGGGTTACATATATCATAATCATAAGGCATAGGCATCTCTAACTTACAGGCATTTCATATTTTTTACAACCCACAATCCATCCCAACCCCAGTTCATTACAGTAAGAAAACGTATTTATTTCAAAAAAGAAGGAAAACTGGAAATCTCATGGTCCTTTGGCAAAGGTGCGTGGAAACGGAGGCTGCTTGCATTTCAAGGCAAGCACCAGAAGGAAGTTCGTGGCCAAAAACAGTTCAGAGAGTCAATAAGAAAAAGGCAGAAGTCCAGTGATGGGCGCTGGGTTGATCAACAACAGAATCCATCGCTCAGCCCTTGGGGAATTATAAATACTTGGGAAGGGGGGGAAAGATGCTCGGCATCAACGCCACAGCTCCCTGTTGACCGTCACTATCCCCAGCTCCTTCAAGGTCAAGCCAGGCACTTCAAGGATGCCATCCATCCATCTTGCCCTTGGTCGGCCCTTCCTTTTTTCTCCCAAGCATCATTGTCTTCTCTAAGCTTTCCTGTCTTTTGGTGCTAAATTCATAAATGCAGTAATTACTACATAACGTTATCGTGAATTCAACTGCTTTTTCTGTCAATTTGTTTTAAAACATGATGTTTTGTTGCTTAATTTGTAAAATCATAACCTAATTTTACATTTAATAGGCTTTTCCTTAATCCCTCCTTATTATCCAACATTTTTGCTTATCCAACGTTCTGCCGGACCATTTATGTTGGATATGTGAGAGTCTACTGTATTTCTTTAATGGCAAATTTGGCACGAGCAGCAGAAATCATGTGGAAAGACTAGGGAGATAGTAAAAAAAGAACAGGTCAACATGGTTCAGCTGACGTTTTATTCAGAGCTAATGCTATGCATGTGTGAAATGAAACAACCAGGGAAGCCTTGCATCAGTAAAAGCATTTTGAACCTTTAGGGGTCATTCAAAGGCCTCCAAAAAAGGGACCCTGCTTGGAATGTACTAACTTTATCCAATGATACCTCTCACATTCATCAATTATGGAGCATAATCTGCCTTGTTGATGTCCAACTGTGAAACTGACCGTCTCACCAATGTATCGCCTTTTCGCATCAAACATTTGAGGCCGCCACCTTGCTTAGCCTCCCAGTCAGGTTGGCCCCGATGAGATAGGGGAAAGGGTTCATCCATGGCTAGTTGACTCTCTGTTGAATCCAAAAGCTTTTGCCATTTGTAAAGGCTCAAGCTTCAGAAAGCCGTGAAAACAAGAGAATAATCTGGCTTTAAGACCCGGGAGGAGCCTCTCCAGTTTTCCCCCTCAAAGTTAAATCTCCAGCCAATCCTCTTGGATGCATCAGGCACTTTACACCAGTGGGTGTTGCTCCTTGCCTGGAAAACTCTCTAGTGAGGCGCCCAAGTTTCACAGTGACAGCTTTCACCGCTCTTGGAAAAGGAAAAAGCAGGAGATCCAAGCGGCACAGATCTCTCCAGTACCCCAAATGCTTGTTCCCTGATGTCCGCTTGCCGGCTTTGGCCTCGTAAAGAAGGTATCTTTCTCCCCATGCTGTCAGCTGGATAGCTGAGGGAGTTCTACTTCTGTCTCTCTTGGGGCACCATGTTCCTCTAAAGCTGAAGTGCAAGCTTCCTCTGTCCAGAGGCTGGAGTGGAAGCGAACCAAGTTGGGAAAGACTTCAGAGTCCAACTTGAAGGCCATCCCTGCACCTGGTGCTACCAAACCAGTGGTTTCTGTCGTGATGTGGCCCAAAGCCAAGGAAGCACAGCAGCTGAACATCAGTATGAGACACTGGTTGGTCTTTTGCTCATGGTTTTTAGTGAGCTGGTCTTTTCAGCCCGCCAAGGCAGGATGTGCCAACCGGGAGACCCACCGATGTTGTCCTGGTCGGAATAACGATTGCTCTGACTTCTCCTGGAGAAGAACGCCCTGTTACTGTGACACATACTGTGAGAAGACGGGGGACTGCTGCGAAGATTATCACGCCATCTGTCAGGTATCAGGTGAGCTGCTCTTCTGTGGAGGAAAGGGTGACCCATTGGGTTGGCATCTCCAGGGCTCCATCGTGTCTTCTGCAGACAGTCAGTGAATAGTATGGGATATCCCTCTTTAGACATGTTCCTTTACTTCCAGGGTGGGTAACTGTGGCAGGCCTAGATGCCATGCTTATGCCCCTGTACCCTCTAGTAGCCACTGAAAAGTCAAAACAAACACCCACCAGGTGAAAGTTGGTTTCTGATTCTTAAAAATTGGGTAAGAAGGGCAGGGAAGTCTTTGTGATTTGAAAGGTATGTTGTTACACCTGGAGTCTTTTGGAAACAACAATTTACTCACTTTATTTGGACCCAGAAAAATGTTGGTCTGGGAAGCCTAAAGGTGTTGAGAGCCACAAAAAAACATAATTGGGGGCTATACATTGTCCAGCCTTGCTTTACATCTTCCAAAACAATCTAAGCTATCCCTGCTCAATGGGGGAGGCTTCCAGGTCAAAATCCAATCCCACTGCTTTCCACCATACAATGAAAAGTTAACTTGATGTGCCTCTAGGAACCACATGCTGTGAGAACAATAGAATCCTAAAAGTTGGAAGGCATTCTAGGGACCATCTAGTCTGACCCCCACTAGTGTGAAAACTACCCCCAAAGCTCCACTCGGTTATAGCATCCCGCCTCTGTTCAAAGACCATCAAAGATAATGCCCCAGCCTTTGTTCAAAGACCATCATACTGGTGCATTTGGGCACACCTGGAGTTACACCATGTCACTTCTGGCCACTGTTTTGACGAATGTTGACCCATTTGAGAAGGCGTCTGTAAGGAGAGTGAGATAAACTACCTTGTACATTTGGCTCATTTTCCCCATCCTTGCTTTATACCAGTGGTTCCCAACCTGTGGTCTGCGGACCACCAGTGGTCCGCAAGAACTAAAACATGGTTCGCGGCCTCACCGTTACTACTACAGATAACACAGCCCCCCAAAAAAAAAAACCACTATTTTTTCTTGGCGTCTTCATTTTTAGGCCTGTTCCTGGGGTTATTTCAGGTGCTGATTCAGAAAATTGCACTGGATAGAATACATCAGCTCTAGATTATTCAATATGATTTTCTGTGGGTGAGCAGATGGCAACTACTGGATGGCATATGTTCTGTATCAGAAACTAGAGCTGATGTGGTCTATCCAATGCAGTTTTCTGAATCAGAACCCCAAATAACCAAACCGAATCTAAAGTTGACCAAAAACTGATTCGTAACCCTTTTGGTACTAATGTTGGAGAGTGGTCCCTGGTCAAAGTGGTCCCTGGTCAAGTAGTCCTTGGTGCAAAAAAGGTTGGGAACCACTGCTTTAGAAAGACCTTGAATGGTACGAGGAAATCAGTTCTGATTTGTGGTCAATAAAAGCCACTGAGATGAATCCTGAACACACAAGTATAGGTTGTGTTTTCTATGCCTTATCTCCCAACAATCTGAATTTGGCAAGGTTAGTCCCAATGAATCCTCTGTTATCCCATTGGTCATCCAAAAGCCTAATTAGAAAAAGTGAAATCGTTACATGGAAAAAAAGGAGATGTTCCTTGTTTTATAATATGCCATGTCTTTTGTTGGTGTTGGTGTTGCTTCAAGTTGTTTTTGATATACGGCAGCTGTAAGGCATGGTTTTCTTGGTAAGATTTGTTCAGAAGGTGGTTCCCTTTGCTTTCCTCTGAGGCTGAGAGAGCAGATCTTTCCCAAGGTCACTCAGTGGATTTCTGTGGCCAAGCAGTGATTTAAACACCAGATTTCCAGAGTCCAATTCCAAAGCTAAAACACCAGCCTGGCTCTTAGTTATTGACAAAAAAAAAACCTACTCCAAGTTAACTCAAAAGTTGCAGCTAACGCCATTCTTCCACATTCTCTGGGATTCAGGGTACAGAACCCCAAAGAAAGTGAAAAATTGCTAATAAATTACTATTTGTTGATCCGAGATAACACCGCTTTAGAAATTTCTCAATTCAACGGTCAACTTCCCCTGGAAACAGAGCACAGAATTGCATTAGAAAGGAGATTCCTAGAGATGTTCTCTCTAGAAAAAGCATAATTGGGGTCCTGCAACAGAACTGGAAGAAGTTGACCATAGAATCACACTTCTGATTCTTAGAACCTTTTCAATCCAATCTGCAAAAGTCAAACAATGCTACAACTTCCATGTGAGGACCAGAAGATACAAATCAACATGTATGAAACCTAAACCTACACATAAATCCTAGGTTTATGTGCCTCTTTGGTGGGAATGCATGTATTCATGGTTAATACTGATGCTGACGGAACTGGTTGATTGGGAACTCCCATGTTCCTGGCGGGGGCTAATGGTAGCTACAGTTGAATGGTGCATGAAGGCCCTTGAGTTCCATGGAGCACAGGGCTGAACCAGCCTTTGGTGTCATTGGGGGAGGTAGGAGATTGGCGCCTGTAAACTATCCCTAATCTCCACGGAGATTAACCCGGTCCCAACTCAGCTCGATGACCACGCTGCTGGGGCATCGGCCAGCAAATAAAAGAGTCAGGAAGCTGGAAACCATGGAACTGCGCCTTGTTGGTTTAGAAAGCCATTCGCTCTCCAAAAGCCTTGTTCACTTCAGCCTCCAGCAATTTGCTTTTCGATGACCCATCCGCTGGTCAATTTCAGCAGCTCATTTTCCAGACACAAACTTACATTTTTAACCTGTCTTTGCAACAGCTGATAGATTGGGGGACAGAAGAAGTTCCTCCGAAAATGTGTCTGCATTTTTGCCTCCCTCTTAAGGGATAATGTACTGACGTGGAGAACAACTGATGGGCTAGATCAACGCAACAATGGAAAGGCAATAAAAGCATTTGTTGACAGCGCTTTTCTAAAACACCGTGGTTTTGGACAAGGAATTTCCTGTTATATAATCTTTTTCTGCACGTTGCCTTTACTGGCAGTATTTTGTGTACGCCATCCACCAAAAGGCACATTTTTGTCTGAGCGTTAGAGAAGTGGATTGCTCATTCTGAAATTGGTACAATTGGCCCTCTGGATTCACACAGCCTGTGTTCACGGATTCTACCACCCAGGGCTTGAAAACAGATCCTTTAAAAATCCCCAAAGCAAACTTTGGTTTTCCTGTTTTATCTCAAGGATGCTATGGCATTGTTATGGCATTGTTTTTAGTGGGACTTGAGCATCCACAGATTTTGGTATCCATGTGGGTCCTGGAACGAAACCCCAGCAGATACTGAGGGCCAATTATTTTACCATTTAGGACAAGTGGACCACAAGTTGTTCTCAACTTGTGGGTCCCCAGATGTTTTGGCCTTCAACTCCCAGAAATGCTAACAGCTGGAAAACTGGCCGGGATTTCTGGGAGTTGTAGGCCAAAACACCTGGGGATCCACAGGTTGAGAACCACTGATTTAGGATGTGTGTGTTATGTACATTCCCCTGAAAATGCAAATAGAATCAACTTCACCACATTGCTAGCTAAAACCACAGGGTTGAAAAGTTCCTTTTCTCTTTGAACTGCAATTCCCAGAATGCATCCTTCTTCCCAAGCTGGGGAATCAGTATGTATCCTGAAGAGTGGCCCTCCCACGCTTGCTCTCTGGGGATGGAGGTTGGAGAAGCCATGCCATCAGTGTTGGTATGATTGCATACAAAGACTATGAACTGGAATACTGTGTCCAATTCTGGCCACCACAATTGAAGGGAGATGTTGCCAAGCTGGAATGTGTCCAGAGGAGGGTGACTAAAATGATCAAGGGTCTGGAGAACAAGCCCTATGAGGAGCGACTTAAAGAGCTGGGTATGTTTAGACTGCAGAAGAGAAGGCTGAGAGGAGACATGATAGCCATATATAAATATGTGAGAGGAAGTCACAGGGAGGAGGGAGCAAGCTTGTTTTCTGCTGCCCTGGAGACTAGGACATGGAACAATGGCTTCAAACTACAAGAAAGGAGATTCCACCTGAACATTAGGAAGAACTTCTTGACTGTGAGAGCTGTTCAGCAGTGGAACTCTCTGCCCCGGAGTGTGGTGGAGGCTCCTTCTTTGGAGGCTTTAAAAAGAGGCTGGATGGCCATCTGTTGGGGGTGCTTTGAATGCGATTTTCCTGCTTCTTGGCAGGGGGTTGGACTGGATGGCCCACGAGGTCTCTTCCAACTTGATGATTCTATGATTATATGAACTGAAGAGCAGCCGGACACAGCTCCATCATACCATGGTCCCAGTGGCTGGTGAGGCCTCTTTCTTCTGGCTTCAAGGGAGTGAAGAGCAGTCAGGCACATCACCATCATGCTTTGGCCTCAGTGCTGCTGAGAAAACTTCTCTCCACTCCACCAGCCACTTCTGTGGCTTCTAAGGGAGAGATGAGTAGCTGAGCACAGCTCCATCACGTCTTGGTCCCAGCAGATGGTAAAGATATCAATCTTCATGTTCCAGTTGCAGTGCTCTGGCCACTGAGGGAGAGAAGAATATCGAGGCATAGCTCCACCATGTCTTGGCTCCAGTGGCTGGTGAGGGGCCATTCCTCCATATCCAACATTGCTTTGGATATTGAGGGAGAGAAGAGCAGCCAACCATAGCTCCATCATGTCTCAGTCTCAATGGACAGTGAGGACTTTTCTCTCCATGGTCCAGCTACTATTGCCCTGGCCTCTGAGGGAGAGGAGGTTAGCAAAGCCCAGCTCCATCATGTCTTGGTCCCAGCAAATGGTGAGGGACATCCATTCAGCCCCTGGTTGTTGCATAACAGGTCATCTTTTTATAATGGTTTTAGCTATCATTCTTGGTTGTTTTTATTTAGTGTTAAATTTATATTAACTGTTATATCCTTAAAGGTTATTTAAGTTTTTATTGTCGGTTATTTTGTTTTTAAGTTGAGAATTAGGTTGCTTTTACAGTAGGGTCTCACTTATCCAACCTTTGCTTATCCAACGTTCTGTATTATCCAACACAGTCTGCCTCCCGTCCGGATCCATAGCTGTTTCAATACATTGTGATGTTTTGGTGCTAAATTCGTAAATACAGCAATTTACTAGATAACGTTATTGTGTATTAAACTGCTTTTTCTGTTGATTTATTGTAAAACATGATATTTTGGTGCTTAATTTGTAAAATTATAACATAAGTTGATGTTTGTTGAAAATGAACAAAACCTGGCTACCAGTATTAAAAAACTCTAAAATTATAACAGTAAATAAAGAGCAACACTCAAACAGGGGAGCTCCAGACAAGAAACCATCAGCGACAGCTAATCACCTCTCAATAAAGAATTCTCCCAGGCAGTAACAAGCCATACCGAAAAACTATCAGGCCATCAAATGCTAACCAAGGTAGCCAATTGAAACATTCACACCTAGCTCCAACAGACAAGAGTCCTTTCCCTCACCCTGGATATTCCACAGATATGTAAATCCAGTTTTTCTAGTTTCCAACATACCTCACAACCTCTGAGGATGCCTGCCATAGATGTAGGCGAAATGTCAGGAGAGAATGATACCAGAACATGGCCATATAGCCCGAAAAACCTACAACAACTCAGTTTAATAGGCTCTTACTTAATCCCTCCTTATTATCCAACATTTTTGTTTATCCAATGTTCTGCCGGCCTGTTCATGTTGGATAAGTGAGACTCTACCGTACATTGTTCAATATGGTTTGTCCTGATGTAATTTTGTTTGAATGTTTTTCCTTTTTTGGCATTAAATGTTTGCCATACATGTTGGAAACCACCCTGAATCCCTTTGGGGAGATGGGGCAGTCTACAAATAAATAAATTATTATTATTATTATTATTATTATTATTATTATTATTATTATTAAATTGAGCTGAGGAAGAAGGGTTTCTTTGTAAATTGAAACAGTGACCTCTCCAAGCCTGGCAGTAGATTATAGCCAGTGGTAAAAGGTGATGGGAAAGGTAGTCTTAAGCGCGGCCACTGGTCACAAGTCAGCGAAATCCCAGAAGACGCAGTCCTCCATGTCTCTGTTGGCTTTTTAACCAAAGCAAATACATCCCAGTGACAGATAAACGATGCATGAATGAACCGTTGGATAGGGCTATGGGAGAAAAAGAGCGCCGCTGATTCAGTGGGATGGAAAGATGGGAACCTACAGTCTTAGTCGGGGCCAAAGGCTTCCCGCTTGGAAAAGCAGATGACGACAAGAGATGGAGAAATAGGTTTCAAAAGCAGCCAAAGCAGACTTTGGAGAAATACCGAGAGAGATTTTGAACGCTCATCTTTGTCCAGTGACATCAGAAAAAATACTAGAGAGAACACAAAAGAGCCAGGAGTATGTCTGTTTTGTCCAATATGTTGGATTTCTGAACATTATACAATGGCATTGATAGCTTTTGAAGGGGTTGGACAAAATTTAGCCATGGTAAATGATGCTCCTTTGGATGCTTGAGTTCTATGGAATCCTGTGATTTGTCATTTTTATTAGGTACTAGCTTGGGTACCTGCCGATGCCCAGGTTATTTGAAAAAGGCATTGTTTGCTTTGGGGTGAAAGGTAATACATATCATTTAGTTAATGAGTATTTATTTATTTATTTATTTTGTGTCAAAAGCATTGCATAAATTAGTATAAAACTGATAAAATAGAAGGTGTGCAGGCGGCTAAATATCTTTTGACCAAAAACGGGCAACAGCAATGGCATTGTCTGTAGCCTCCAACAATTCCTCCTCTGTACATGAGGCAGGGCACAATTGACAAGCATACAGATGCAGAGTCGTCTGTTCTGCTCCACAGTTATACAAGATATGAGATTCTTTAAGGTAACACTATTTTTTATTTAAAACATAGTCATTGATTTCATTGTTTATGAATGCTCCCATTAGTAAATACGGAAGGATGTGGGTGAACTACGATTCCCAGAATCGTAGGTCAATCCTCCCCAAACCATGCCTGTATTCACAGTTGGGCATATTGGGTCTGTGTGCCATGCTTGGTCTAGATCTGTCATTGGTGGGGTTCAGTGTGCTCTGGGTGCAGGGTGAACTACAACTCCCACACAGGTAGGTTGGTTGCCTATGTTCTGTTGGTCACCAGCGTTCTGTGTTTGAAGTTTGGTTCAGATCTGTCATTGGTGGGGTTCACCCTGGATGCACCGGGATTGTGGCGCAGCTGGCTGAGTGTCAGCTGCATTAAGATCACTCTGACCAAAAGGTCATGAGTTCGAAGCCAGCCCGGGCTGGAGTGGGTGTCCAGCCATTGTGTAGCCCGTTGTCGACCTTTGCAACCCGAAAGACAGTTGCATCTGTCAAGTAGGAAAATAAGGGACCACCTTGTGTGGGAGGCTAAATTTAACTAATTTATGAGGCCATAAAGAAAGAAGACTCCGGGGAATGTGGAATGCGGAAGAACTTCATCGGTGTCGTTGATGGACGATGAAAAGCAGCAGCTCCCCTGGCGGCCAGAAAAAAAGTTAAATAGCCTTTGTCTGTTAAATGTTGTTTGTCAAACTGGCATTGAATGTTTGCCATATATGTGTTTACTGTAATCCGCCCTGAGTCCCCTGCGGGGTGAGAAGGGCGGAATATAAGAACTGTAAATAAATAAATAAATAAATAAATAAATAAACTGTAACTCTCACATGGGTGGGTCAGTTCCCCAAACCCCTCTAGTATGTTCTCTTGGTCATGGGGGTTTTGTGTCCCAAATTTGGTCCAGACCTGTAATTTGTGGGGGTTACAGTGGTCTGTGGAAGTCGATGAAGGTACTGCAAATTCCAGGGGCATCATTCATTTGAGTCTCAGTGGTTTCTGGAAATGAATGAAGGTACTGCAATTCCCATCGGCCTTGGTCCATCCTTCCCTAATCTGCACCAAGATGTAAAGTGGGTCATGGAGGGGTCTGTGTGGCAAGTGTGGTCCAGGCCCATCATTCATGGGGGTCCCAGGATCAGGAAGTGAGGCAAATCCCATAATTCGTGGCAAGTGTGGTCCAGATCCATTGTTGGTTGGGTTCTCAGTGTTCTCTGGATGTAGGTGAACTGCAACTCTTAGAAATCAAGGTCAATTCCCCTGCCGTGGGAAAGGGTAGGAAAGGGTTAAGGGAAAGGCAGTGGGTGGGGCAATGCAAATTCCACACAAATGGTAAGGAAGCCTGGGATGTCCATTCTGGAGGAAAAACAGAACATCTAGGATTAAATTGTCCCCAAATGAAATCATTCCTTGGGTGGTGGGCAGTATGGTGTTTGGTGAGGACATTGGCAGGGGTTGGGAGACATGTTCATGGCGCTCCCTGTAATGTTCTTTGAGGGAGGGTGTTGGTGGCTCCTCAGCACTGTGGGTTAAAGCTGTTTGTGGAAGCGGGAGGCTATCTGTGCAAGTGGATGCCTCTGCCATATACACTTTATGTGTATAGATAGATGTATAGATAGACGTATACATAGATGTATACATAGATGTATAGATAGACATATAGATAGACAGACAGTCAGGCAGATAGATAAATAAATAAATAAATAAATAAATAAATAAATAAATAAATAGAAAATTCATTGTTGGGGAACTCAAGTTCTTCCCTGAATGATCAATCTCAAGATTCCCATAGCAGTTCAAGTGTAATTAATAACTGAGTACTGGATCATTTAGTATAGACAAGGAGACTCAATTACATAGGATTCTGGGTAGTTCCATTTCGACCGATCATTTTGGGGATTCAGTATCCCCCAGCCTTTGCTCTCAACTGATCCCATGGGCAGACAAAAGGGTTTGATTAATGGTTTGATTCACAAGACCAGGATTGGAATCCTTTCTCATCCACCGAAAACCACTGGGTGCCTTTGGGCACACTGTTGACCCCAGAAAACCCCACAATAGGTGTTACTGTATGTTGGGAAAGGCACACAACAACAACAAACATTGGCTTCAATTGTGCGCAATGGGATGCAGAGTGATTTTGTCTTCCTTTCTGGTTTGTTTGCTCGCAGCCTGGCTTAGGAAGTCAAAATGTGATTCAATGTCTGATTGTGTCGAAAGAGACGGAATGTCCCTCTTGCCCCATGGAGAGTTTTGATAAGAGACGTGTGGGACAGAGGGGCTGGGATCTGGCTTTGCTGGCTACATTGCCCCCCTTCTTTGTAGGCCATGGGATTTGGAAGCCTCCAGGCCAGACAGTTGAGCGGGAGGCGTCTCTGAGAAGCAAAGTGGACGCAGTGAGTCAGAAGGAAGGGCAAGCTAACATGTTTTGCCAATGGAGACAGGCGGCTTATTAATTGGAGGGGCTGCGGGGGTCTATTTGACCACCCTGAATTCCTCTGGAGTGATGCTGATGAAAGAGTGCGTCTGGGAACGGTTCCATTCCCACTTGATTTCGATCCTACTCTCCTCCCCCTTCCCCACCTCTTTATCCTTTCCGCATGCCACCCATCTGTGCCTGTCTGTTCCGTTCTGCACCCTCTAACCTTCCCTGTTTGAATCGCCTCTGCCTCTGGTGGTCCCTTGTTCCCCTGATCTGTTTTTGGCCCTGTTTTGTGTCCGCTTTCTTGTGCTTGGCCTTCTTTTCCAGCAGCTGTGGATTGCGTGGTGGGGCCGTGGGGACCCTGGAGCGACTGCAGCTCTCTCTGTGGCACTGGGAGCAAAGACCGCATGCGCCAGGTCACGGTGCCGCCGCGGAACAGAGGGACCCCCTGCCCGGACCTGAAGCAGAGGCGAGGCTGCCTGGGGGACAACCCGGTTTGCGAGACAGCCAAAGGTAACGCCAGAAAGTGTTTGATCAATAACACAAAGGAAACACAATTCAGAAGCCTGTCTTGGGTGATCACAGCAGGCCATCAACAGCTGCCCTTCACTTGTTTCGGATGACAACTCCCATTGTCCAGTGGTCAATCCAACACATCTGGAGCTGATCTGAGTCATGGTATTGGCCCTACTATTAGATGGAAGGAAGTGGTCAATTTGTGAGGTCAGGGGTCACAGCTGTTGCCTGTCTGGAATGACCATTTAGGCAGTCAGTTCACACAGCCTTTGCTTTTTCCTTTAACAGAGGTGTCTAAGATCCTACCTGATTCTTTTAAGAGGGACTTTAAGGACCCATGGAGAAGACCTCACATGCTCCTGAAGCATAAGATGCCAAGGTAGGAATCCGATCAGGAAACCTGCCGCTGCATGTTGCATTGTGTACCTGTATCAATCTGGGTGGGCACATGTTAACAATTGAGTTCTGCATGCTACAATTAATTCATGTCAAGCCTAGAGGAAACCTTCACAAATCCAAAATATGTCTTTCCTAGCTATGGGTTGCTGCTGATGCCTGCTGTTGGCCTTCTTGTATTGTTTGGCCCCACTGTCTGCTTGGGGGCGAGAGCTGCCATGACAATTTTCCACAGTAGCTGGAGTGAACAATTGTGGCTGCGAAGGCCTGGTGGGAAAGGGAAATGGCGCTGTGCCACCTGGACTATTCTTACTGCCCTTGTCCTCCGATCAAAGGCTCATGTCTGTAGAAGGGGACCTGCTAACAAAGGAGGTAGCTTCCGTGGCCAATTGAAAACACAAAGGTGGCCCACCATGTTGGTTCATGAGAAAAAGAGACAAATGCTGCGGTTGAAGGTCCAACTCAAATTGGGGGCGGAGGGGGAGCATTTGCGCTTTTGAGTTCTCCAGGAGTTCTCATCCTGTGGATTGCTAGAGAACCCTCAAACTTGCATCCTGAGCTTGAGGAGTCTTGGGCTGAAATCCTGCCTTTGGAAGTGTATGATAAAGCTCAGCAAAAAGGGCACTATGACCCGGGGGTGGGGGGGGGGTGGGACAGAGAAGCTTTCAGGCATGGCTCTATAGCCAGACACAGTGCGTCAAACATCTTGAGGGAGCTTTCAAGAAGGCCTTCCACCCATTAACTTTATTGGAGAGGTTGAAGCAGCTAAAGAATGGATTTGGGGGGGGGGGGCAGTTTGGTCAGCTCACCTATTTGTCCTCTTCTAAACTGTCCCCACAAACCTACCTTTTCTAACCAGGTTAGACCAGATCCATCCCAACATGGAAAGAAAAGCGAACCCTCTTTCTACCTCAGTGGTATCCTCATTTTCTTCTCCACTTCCCCTCGATTGTTCATTGGGTTTCTGAGCAGAGAGAAGACAAGATCCAGAACATAAGCCACCTCCCTCCTCTCCTTTTGCCTTGTGATCCCATGTTGCTCCCATCGCCTCTTCACCCAGGGCTTTGGTAAATGGGGGAATGGAATTTTAAGCAGGATTATTAGTGGGGGATTATCTCAAACTGGCATCTCCAAGTGAAAAGCCAAAAAACAGGGTGGTGGAGAGGAGCACGACGATGAGAGGAGCCCCATATTCTCTGAGCCCTCTCCTTGCCTGTAACGCAGAGCATCGGTGCCCCCAGGAAGAGAGTTTCCATAGAGCTTTACCTTGTTAACTTGGCCATCATTTGTAAAGTTCATGGTCTGGCTGAAGTGCATTCGCATCACACTGAGGACCACGTGTTTGGCAGAGATGGCCAGCTGTGCTCAATTATATCTTAATTTTTTTCAACCAAAGGATAGTCTGACTTATGCCTTTTAATGCAGGACCAGGTTGTGGATGAAGAACTAGACAAACTGTGAGGAGAGAGAGAGAAAAATCAAGTTGAATTCTTTCATATGATCCAGTCAGTTTCCATTCTGACAAATGTCACTTATGGGTGGATGAACCTATTTCTTTCTGGGCAGCATCAATTGATTTGCTGTTATCCGTTGGGTCAGGCCTGTAACCTGGCTTCAGGAAAGGCAAAAGCTGCACATCACAACTGTTGAACTTGACTCAGCCCTTAGAAGATGGTTTTGAAAGGCAGCAGATTACAGGAGCTGTCTTCATAGACCTGTCAGTAGCCTATGACACTGTAAATCAGGGGTCCCCAAACTCAGGCCCGCGGGCCGGATGCGGCCCGCCAAGGGCATTTATCCAGCCCGCGCTGCCTGGCCTGGGCTGGCACAAAGCCCCTCGCCGTTTTCTCCCTCTGGAGCAGCTTCAGGCGGGGTCGCGCCGGACCAGGCCTCTCCCTCTTTCTTTCCTTTCTTCCTTCCTTCCCCTTGCCCCTTTCAGTCCCCTTCCCCTTCCTTTCCCCTCCTTCCTTCCCTTCCTTTCCTTCTTCTTCCCTTCCTTCCCTTCCCTGGCTTGGAGAAGCCAGCGTTGCCTGGCCATGCCCACCCGGCGCCGCCTCTGCTTGTTCTCCTGGCGCGGCTGGGAGCGGAACAGGAGGCGCCTCATGGCCGCAGATCTTCTGCTGCTGTGCTCTCTTGTTCTCCGTGGCCATGAGATGCCTCCTGCTTCCCTCCCAGCCATGCCAGGAGAACAAGCAGAGGCGGCGCCTGGCCCGGTGTCCCCACGGAGAGAAGGAAGGAAAGGAAGGAAAGGAAGGGAGGGAAGGAGGGAGAGGAAAGGAGAAGGAAGGGGAAGGGAGGGAAGGAAGGAAGGAAAGAAGGGGAAGGGGAGAGAAAGGGGGAAGGAAGGAAGGAAAGAGGGAGAACCCTGGTCCGGCCAAGTTTGGTCCAGATCCAACATTGTTTGAGTCCACAGTGATCTCTGGATGTAGGTAAACTACAACTCCAAAACCAAAGYACARTGCCCACCAAYCCCTTCCAGTYTTTTSTGTTYGTCAMYGGAGWHBTGTGTGCCAAGTTTGGTTCCATTCCARRYTT